GCTTAGAAACATGATATTTTCTTTTTAATGCGCCTTTCCTCCGTATAATCTACTTCCCCTTCTCACGCTTTCTTATAAGTAAAGGGAAAAGGGACTAAAACAGTCCTTAAGTAAGACACTCAGATAAAACCCCATTCATCCATACTTTTAACAGTGGTAGTGCCCGCTTTAACATCTTAGCATGAATGGGTCGCCACACCCGGTTTAATACCACGACCACACAGAAGACAGGCGTGAAATGGAAGCAATTCCGTGTTTCGTCTGATGAGTGTGGTGCCGGAGGCCTAATTTAAGTCCCTTTCTCTTTACCATCCTTTTCTTGTAAGGAGAGGTTGGGGAGGGGAAGTGGATTTGACGGTGGAGAAGATACATAGGAAGGGGAAATATCCTCTTTATGTGCGTCTCCTCCTCCGTCGAATAAGGGTAGGCAACGCATCTGCAATTGCGGATGTCTATAGGCAGCGGTCGCTTCGCCATTTCGGCGGATTCTAGTGGCCGCTTGCTCGTTTGCCACCTTATGTTATAAAAAAAAAACTATTGTTATTTTTCAATCATTTGTACTAATGTACAGGAACACAACGACAATTGAAGTCAGACTGTATTATTAGACAACTTATTTAATTGATACTGTCGCTTTAAACTCAGAGCAATACTTCTCGCCAGTCTCTGAATGCGCGCCAATCTATCTATACTTCTAGTGACATTGACAGCTGTCAGCTAGGGACGTGACGTTTATGCCGATAATCTAGAGTTGCGCCAATTCTATAGCACGGTACTAATTTTGTTCCTAACAGTATAGTGTTAGTTGCAATGCAATTGGATATGTCGAATATAGACATTGGAATTTCTCGTTGACTAGTTATTCTATTTATATATCTTAACAGGTGTACTAGTTGTTAATTTCATAGTTACATGGAATTTATACTATTTAATACTAGCTTTCGCCCGCGACTCCGTCCGTGGAAAAAAAAGTCTATCGGTCTACACCTACGCGATCTACGAGATCCGTTCAGACATTTAGGTTACCATCTCTAACAAACATCCATCTAAACTTTCGCATTTATAATATTAGTAAGATAAACCAGATTGTTCTTCTAAAAGAGTGGGCACAACTAAACTATCGCACAACAGTTGTGCGATAGTCAATTGTTTCGCAGTCAACTGTTTAGTTGCACAACTAAATATCGAGTAGTGTGCGCACCTCTAAGCTTATAGGAAGCGAGACTAAACAGTTGTGCGAAAAGCGTAAACACACACTTCTTTGTTGCCTAAGATGTCAGCAATTACAGCATATTTTTGAATAACTCTTTTTTCAATAAAAAGCCCTACACTTATGTCACGCTTTAGGCTATATATTTTCAGCCATTAAACTTAGGGGTAAATATTTTGAATAAAAACCCTAATGTGGGAAAAAGACCATAAGTTGCTACCAACATCAAGGAAGCAACATTGCCATGGTTTGTCATTATGTCATTTTGACATTTGCAATTGATAATTAGACACATGTCAACAATAAAATAAAATTTTCACAATTTTATGCGGATGAAGTCGCACGGGAACAGCTAGTGTATCAATGAGGATTTAATTACATTTCAACTAAGTTTAAACACATGAGTCATTTATTCCCTTATCAACATTAAACAAATGTAGAAACGTATGCGAGACAAGCAAAAGGTTGACAAACTCTGGCTGTGACATACTTTGTTTTGTTGACTGTGACAATCGTATCTCAAAACTGTACGAATTCTAATATGAATTTAACTTCGATTGGTAATACTTGATTAACGTTAACATGAAGGTTTTTGTCTAATTTACTTAACCCCTAAGTAATAGCGTGAAAATATAGCCTAAAATGTGTTGTAAGTGTAGGGCTTTTTATTAAAGAAAGAATTATTCAAAAATATGCAGTAATTGCTGACATCTTACGCAACGAAGTAGTGTGTGTTTACGCTTTATTATATTAGTATAGATATGGAAAGTATATACTATATAGTAGAGAATTACTGATAATTTTAGAGGTTTGTAATGTAATGTAAATAAACTGATTTTTATGAACAGAGATAAACAGTGGTAGAGCCCACTTTAACATCTCCGCATTGTAGGTCGTCTCGCTCGGTGTAATACCACGATCACACAGAAGGCAGGCGTGAAGTGGAAGCAATTCTGCGTTTCGTCTGATGAGTGTGGTGCCGGAGACCTAATTTTAGTCCCTTTCCCTTTAACCACCCTTTTCTTTAGAGGAAAGGATGGGAAGGAAAAGTGGTTTTGACGGTGGAGGAGACGCATAGGAAGGGGAAATGTCTTCTTTAAGTGCGTCTCCTCCTCCGTCAATTAAGGGTAGGCAACGCATCTGCAATTGCGGATGTTTATGGGCAGCGGTTGCTTTCCATTTCGGTGGATTCAGGTGGCCGCTTCGTCGTTTGCCACCTTATATTATAAAAAAAAATCGTATCAGCATTAGACCTGTGTGGAGCCGGGGCGTATAATTAGTTGTAATAAACAATAATTACGTAATAGATAATTAATCTTTCCTCAAAATATGTCATCTGCCTACAGTGTAAACCTACAAACTCAAATATCTAAGTTCCATTGTTCGCCCACTAACTAACCTTCTAGCATTTCATTTAATTCATATTTCTATTAAAATTCCTTACATTTTCGTAGTTACCCACGCTTTAAATGTAACCGTGGGCTTACACTGCAGAACGTACAAAATCTTCGTTACCTCGGTATTGCAATTGCAAAGATATAAACAAGGATTTTTTTTATATTACAAGGTGGCAAATGAGCATGCGGCCACCTGAATCCACCGAAATGGAAAGCGACCGCTACCCATAAACATCCGCAATTGCAGATGCGTTGCCTACCTTTAATTGACGGAGGAGGAGACGCATATAAAAAGGACGTTCCCCTTGCGATGCATCTCCTCCGCCGTCAAATCCACTTTTCCTTCCCATTCATTCCTCTTAAGACAAGGGTGGAAAGGGAATGGAACTAAAATTAGGCCTCCGGCACCACATTCGTCAGACGAAACGCGGAATTGCTTCCAATTCACGCCTATTTTCTGTGTGGTCGTGGTATTGCACCGGGCGAGCCGGCCCAGTCGTGCGAAGATGTTAAAGCGGGCTCTACCACTGTTATCGGCAAGGTAATACAAGAAATTACGTATTTAAATTAATTTTTAACAACGCACGCAATTTTGGTGCTGGGGATTTAAAAGAAAAGATTCAGCGTTCGCATTGAATAGGCTCAGAGACTACTGAGTATTGCCAAATACCTGTGTTGCCATAAACTGAAATATCCCAGATGAAAGGAAAGTGGTCAACTTGTTCCGAGATCTCTAGTGAATAGAAAACAACTCTCATTTCAAGCCGCTCCCTAACTTTTTATATTACTAGCTGTTGCTTGCAACTTCGTCTGTGTGAAAATAAAAAAATAATAAAAAGTATAGCCTATGTTACTTACAGATAAATTGCCTTTCTAACGGTGAAAGGATTTTTAAAATGGCCCAGTAGTTTTTGAGTAATTGCAATACATACAAAAATACAAATCTTTCCTCTTTATAACATCAGTATATAAAGAGTTCATTCTAAGTAAATTAGCTGTTGATTACTCTATACTTGTAAACAAAAAAGCGATGTGAATTTCGTAAATTGTATATGGTTTTAAATTTTGACGCATGTATCAATGAAAGAATGAAGGCCTAGTCGATAGCAAACATACGAATACAAATCGAATATAGACCTATTCCTGCCGTAGGTGTAAGAAGGATGCAACTGCCCAGCTGCCTTCTATAGTATAAAATTCTATACTAATATTATAAAGATGAAATATTTGTATTTTTGTATATATTGAAGTAATTCAAAAACTACTGAGCGATTTTAAAAATTCTTTCACCATTAAAAGCTTATCAGTGAGTAACATAGGCTATATCTTTTATTTGTAATTCCGCGTAGACGAAATCGCGAGCAATAGCTAGTGTAAAAGAAATATAAAAACCAATTCAAATAAAACTGAATTCATATTTTTAAAAAAGGAGTTTCTGGTGTTTTATAAATAACTCTACCTTTACTTACTACTTACTTACTAACCTTATGTTTTAAGAAAAACAGATTCTGTTCACATCCCTGAGCATGTAATGTGCGTGTGATATTACGTGGGCAATTAATAAATTCCATTAGGAAACCTTTTTCATCGTATTTCACTTTTACTTGAAACCTGTAACTAGGGATGT